TTCATATGACTGTTTGGCCAGTGTAGTGTGCTGATGAATAAGCTACTCTATAAATAATAAATGCCTTCTGCTACACTGTGCTTTGATTACTAAATATATGTATACAACTATTGATTGATTAAAGGTACAATCCAGTAGCAGTGATATTTGGTCCATGCAGAGATTTTAAAGATTAAAGATATAAGGCCCCATCGTACACCCGGTGCATACAGGCGCAAGACGTGATTGGCACGTTTTTTGCTATTTTCACACCAGCACAACAGTAATTTTCGCGTTTTGTGACATGTTGTTTAAATAGCAAATCCATTTGCTACGCTTTGTGGACTCATGGGTATGCTGGTCTATAAAGAATGTGTTAAGGCACATTGTTGGCGCGTAGCTATTTTGAACAACTGAAATAGACCCAATAACCAAATAAAAGCTGGTCTAAAGTCTAGCGTAGAGCACGTAATTTATTCACCTATGCAGGTCTAAACGCTTACACATTGCTTAATACACAGAGGATGTATAGCAATACACAAATATCTTTACATATGAAAAAAATATAGGATTAAACTGTTACAAAATTTTAATTTTGTACATAAATATAAAAACACTACCTCCATGCCTTTTTCATCTCCGGGGGCTTTTTCAGTTTATTTATGACAATTTGTATAATGTAATTATTGTTAGAAGTATTTATTATATGCATATTTATATTTCTTTTAGAATAAACAAGTTTAGATTTGTCCTCCTGTCGGGTTTTGTTAAGTATGCATCACCATATGGGGCATTAGATTAGGACGTGTGTTTGGATATAACTGAATGTAGAAATATTTCTGAAACAAATCTTTGAGCTTAACAAACTAATTTAAATGTGTAGGCTTATTGATGTCTTCAGTGGAGTGAGTTTCCACCGTTTCCCTACTTCACAAAAGTAAAGGAGTAAAGTAAAGAGTGAAAGTAAAGTAAAGAGAAAGTGACCGAATAGAGTAGAGAAATGTTTTATTCGGTCCCACTTTATGTTAAGTGTCCTTAACTACTATGTACTTCCATCAAAAAATAAATACATCGTACTTACTGTGTTTATAATGTATTTGGGAACACTTGTGGTGCTCGTGAGTTGGGATAGGGGTAGGGTTATGGACGGGTTTGGTGGTATGGGTAGGTTTAAGGGTGTGTTGAGGTGTAAAGTATGGTCAACAGTGTATTTACAAATGTAATTACAGAAGTTAATTACAGGTGTAATTACATACAGGTATTTAATCAAGCATAAGTACACAGTAAATACATGTATTTATACAATTAATACATTGTAACTAATTATTAATTTCTGTGTAAGTACATAATAGTTATTAACACTTAATATAAAGTGGGACCTTTTATTCTTGCACAGATGATCTGTTTGATCACTTACAATGTTCTCCATGTAAATGGCAAATGTGCCATGGCGTGACACAACTGACTTTTAAAGGGTGTGTGAGATGAGACTCTCATTGGATTAATGCTGGGGCGCAGAGCATATTTTTCTGTCCTTAAAATAGCAAAAGGGGATTCGGACATGTCCTTAATGCTTTTGTGCCATGCACTTTAGACTTTGCACCTAGATCGTTAAAAAAAGCCCATACTCTCAAATCTGCATTTTAAAGGGCTGTCAAACTAGAATGTGTGTGTCATTGTGTTACACGAATGCATGCATTAATGTAAATCTATATGTCCACCTAGTGTCTAACTATATATTGTTTTTATACAATGTTAATATAAATATCACAACCCACCAGAAAATTTGGCACATTTCTCTGACTCTTGGATGTTTGAAATTGCTTGTTTTTTTGTGTGCATTTCATATGTCTTGGAGAGGCTGGTTATATTATACGAGACTCAGTCTGATGTATTACCAGCCATAAAATGCATGTAATAATCTTATTTTTTCAACAGCAGTTTATTCTGTGCTGGCTTCTTGCTCTTTGCAGGGCATTTTGGGTTTTATTGGGCAGAGCAGACAGCAAGATCAGTGATATGCATAAAATGAATACCTCTTTTGTTAGGGATGAAAGGCGGTTTTCTTTCTTTCATTCTCAGGTTGGCTCTTGAATGAAAGGATCCAGTCTGTTATAGTTAATAAGACCGCTCTCACAGTCAAGATGGGAAATGCGTTTTCTCCTTATCTATAATTTTTGAAATTGCCTCTGTTTGGCGTTTTATCTTTTCTTCATCTGCAAAAAAGAAGAAAATATTTTTCTTTTTGTGTGCGCGCATGAGATTCAGATGTCTTTGATGTTGGTCTGGAGCTGTGAGTCATATGGGCTACTCAGGTTTTGTCATCCACACTAATCAAGTAAATGACCGCTGAGATTTCACTAAATTCTTTTGCCAGCTGTGTTTGCACGATGAATAAAAATTAGCCACAATACACAGTGCCAGGCTAGTGGAAACTGTCAGTTCATAAATAACACTCACTCACTCATTTAATTAATTCATGCGTGACAGTTTAGTCAGTGTTTTTTAATAGCCTGTTTTCTTAAAAATGATTGCTTCAACATAAACTTGGGTGAAATATGGACAACCTATACATCTGTATTAATAGTTTGAATTTGTTTACATTTTACTTGTGTGTTTTTTGATTTTACTTAATTTGTTTGTGAATGTTTTCATAGTTTTATTGTTTTAATTTGAGCTTTTTGATGAACTGAATTAACATTATAAATATTTTCTAACTTTAAAATTATTTTCTAACTGGAAAAGTACTGGCAATTTTCCGGAAAGGTCTATATGTGTGAACAGGCCCTTTTTTAACTACCGGTAAATTTGTTAGTATTTTTGCGAAAATAGAGAAGTTGTAACATTCCCTGTAATTTGCCAGAATGCTGATCTGTGTGAATGCAGAAGGAAGATTTCCGGGAAGAGCGCGTTCATGCTTAGAATGTAATAGGTCTATTCCAGCTAATAAGAACATTCAGACGCATTCATATATACGTTGTTTATAAAAATAAAAAGCCTTTGATTATTTTTCCAGACACATTTAGCTGCTAGCAATTAGTCACATGACGTTTCTATGTTCCTTCTTAAAGCCAGCTGTGTAAAAAAATATCATTTAAATGCTTATGATAAAGCGCTGTTTGTTTACTTTCAAGCTCTGCATGACACATGTGCATTCTGCCTTTGGTAGTCTCTTTGATAAGCTGCATGAATGCTAAAGCTTTAAATAAAAGTGAAACCATCAAGCCAAGTCCCTGTTACGTTTACAAATACAATTGCAGCTGTTTTTAGCTAATTTTGGTTAATGATGTCAGAATTTACTAGTATTTTGGAATGGATGTGTGAATGGTCTTTTCTGGAAAAATTCAGGAACGTCATTGCCTGTGTGAACAGCACATTTTGTAATTTACCGGTAAAATCATTCGGGTAATTTTCCCAATATTTACCGGTATCACTCTGTGAAAGGGGCTATTGACTTACATTTTAACCACACCATTTAATCATGCATTTTTGATTGTTGTTGGTTTTCAATGTTGGGAAGAGGTAAAATGAGTCATTTTTACTGTTGATCATCAGTTGGCACCATTAACCCCGTGCAAAAAACAGCAAAGTTTCTGAATTTTTTAGTTAAAGTGTGTGTAAAATGACTAAGCCGAAAAGAAAATGAATAATGTGTGTGTGTGTGTGTGTGTGTGTGTGTGTGTGTGTGTGTGTGTGTGTGTGTGTGTGTGTGTTTGTGTGTGTGTCTGTGTGTGTCTGAGCGTGTGAGAGTGACCTTTATGCTCTTACCTTGATGTGTCTGAGAAAATCAAAATATGCATCAGAACTACATGGAGTAAACAAAAACAAAGACTGTGTACCCATGCACCATCAAATGTGGTTATAATGGAGGTCAATGGACCAAAAACAGCCAACAGTAAATTAGGGAGAAAATTTTTTTTATCTAACAATGCATCAAAGCCAGTGTTGTTACTAATGGTTCACGTGTCCAATACTGTGATAAAAGGCAAAAAAATCAGTACACAATTACTTTTTATATTGAAAATACGTCATTTTTAGTGTTTTTTTTTCACCAAATCAATGACATCATTTGTGAACTTGCCAATTAAAGAGTTAAAATCCTGTAATTTTCTAAACAATTTAGTAGTTTTTATCAGGACTAGTGTTGATTAACCAAAAACATTTGAAAAAAAAATTACCTGATGCATTTTTACAGTAGTTTAATTCAGTGGATGTTTTCATCCCGAAAAATAGAGTAGTAAATTTGAACAGTCCACAAGGGTTATTTATAATATTATTAAATTGTATTTACACTCCTGTTTTTGATCCAGTGACTTAAAAGTTGCATAAAGATTTAATATATGCGTTCATTTCCATAGTAATTAAGCCCATATTTGCTCAGAAATGGTACTAGAGTGCATTTTGTGAATTGTATTCATTATTAATACAGAATGTGATTTAAGCAATCAATACATTATAATTCCAAAAAACTATTTCATTCATATTTATTTAATAAATTATCATATTTAAACAATTTATTCAGATCACTATTTATCAACATATGTAAACCACAAAAAAAATCCATCTTCAATCTTCCAATGACTGTGTTGAAATGTTCTCAGCCTCCTCATATACTTACAACTGACTCAGAAGGACAATCAGATAATGCGTCTCTTCATCTTTACATCTTTAACATTGGAAAATCGATTCTCTCCATCATCATCATCATTATCATCCTCCTTCCCCTTTCTCCGCCATCCAAGATGACGAACCTGTTGACTCATTCACCCCTTTGCTCATTCACAACCAATGCTTGACCAAGAGAAACGCGGACAGGTATAGGAGAAACACAGAGCGTGAGTCAGACGAGCACTGCAGCGGTTCCTCCGAGAGCACTAAAACACACCCATCCAATCCATCAGCCTTCATTCATCCTTCGCCTCATCCTTCCATTCACACAATCAGAGCGGCGGAGAGGAGGAGGAGGAGGGAGTGAGAGAGGGAGAGAGACGCTGCGATAGAGAGAGCATCATCCACTGCTGCAGAAAACAGAGGGAGGGAAGGAGAGACTGAGAGCATTAGCAGCATCTCGCTTTCTGCGTTCGTCTCATTTTCTTTCTAATACACACATAGTGACAGAGCTGCAGATATATGCTGTGAAATCCAGCATCATCATCATCAAAATCATCAGGACGGACTCGCAGCATCAGCTCTGATAATAATAATAACAGGCTGGAAGCAGAGAGGACGACAGCACAGGTATGAGCACAGTCAAAGGCGTATGTTAGATTTTGCAAGACTATTTGTTATGTCTTTTTAAAGCGTGTTGTTTTCTCCTTGTGAAAGACGTCACACTGGGGTCCGCAGAGTGCGCGGGCCGGACAGAAGCCATGAGGCTGGTCCATAATGCAGAGAAGCAGAGTTTCTCCTTTAAGAAGTGCTCCGCTTTCCAGTTCGTCAAGAGGAAGGTGAGTGTTTGTTTGTTTGTGTGTGTGATGAACTTGTGAAAGTGTCATTCAGGTGAAGATGCTAGTGAACATGTTGTGATGAGTTGGAATATGCCGCTTATGTAGATAAACTTAGTTTGAGTCAGGGTTCCGAGTGTTTCTTCTTCTTTACTTCAATGTAATTTGATCGACAGCTACAAGAGCACAGAATTCTAGCTGTTGAAAGTATTTCTGGCAATGTGTGTTTCATTTGAGGATATAGGGGGTGTTGACAAATTGTATAAACAGTTTGTCTGGGTTTATTGTGCTTATGTTTTTTTCAGACAGGGTTGTAATGATAGTATTCTAGGCAACAAGTTAAGAATTGTTTAAATAACAAATAAAATTTCTGTTTATTCTGTATATTGTGTGTATATACTGTATTTTCCAAATATTTCCTGAGCAATGTTTAACAGAGCAAGGAAATTTTCACAGTACTTTTTTAATAGTAATAAAATAGTAATAGAAAGCAATTTATACATTAATACATTAAAAACTTTTAAATGTATTTTATTAATAATAATAATAATAATAATAATAATAATAATAATAATAATAGTTATTATTATTATTATTATTATTATTATTATTCTCTTGGGAATTATTATTAGCCTCTTATGAATGACTTGTTTAATTAACCTAACTAAGTTAACCTTCTGTCACTATCCCCAGTGATCTAGCCCTTGTAGTTTGCTGGAAACACATACTATCACTAAACTACAATTCTGCCGCTGAACTGCGCTACATTACCCATCAGTCACCTTACTCAGACACCAGTTCCAGATTACCACTGATTACGTACACACAGCTGGAAGCTCACCATGGACTGATATGCGGGACTATTTATGCATCACACTTGCACACACACAGTTCTGAGTCTTGTTATCCTGTAGTATTACAAAGCGCTCGCTTGTCTAGCCTCGCCTTGTTTTCTGACTCTTGCCTTGTTTCTTGTTTATGTTGTTTTGCAACTTGTATTAACCTCTTTTCCTTTGACCACGATGATGATTTTGATTTTCTTCATGATACTGTTTGTTCCTGTTTTGACTAGTGTTGGGCAAAGCGAGGCGTCATAAAACACTGAAACAGTTGAAACAAATGTTTCGAAGCTTCGAAATGTTTCGAAACCCATCTTTATAGTGACACCTAGTGGTAATTTTTATGTATTGCTCTGGAACGGCTTCAGCAAAGAAACAGTTAAGCAGATTGAGGTATTAAACCCCACGTTGTAGAGTTTAGTGATGCGGTGAGAGTTCCACACTAGAATTTTGAGATAATGGGTTCGATTTCAGAGTGATGCAGGTTTGTTTTTAAAGGCTCTGTTTTTGTAACATTTTTTTTTTACATTGGTCTGAACGAACACTTTTTGAATAAATATGTCGTGTTTTGGTCATAAAAAGTAACATTAAAATACGTCGTCATAATTTCAGATTATTTGTACATGTCGGGATTCAAACTTGGACCAATTTTGTCTGACAAAGTTACTTTGTGCACACAGTCCACTAGGCTACATGAGACGGAGGTTTATTTCCGACCCTGTCAGTCAAACGCAGATTCCCCAGGTCTTGAAATGCTTATGAAATGAACGATGCCAAATCTATTTAGTCACATGGTGTTTCGGATCATGCCTCAGTGCAGTGTTTCGAAACACTTCCGGTTCGGGATCTCGACACTGTCAAAACATTAGTTTCACATCAGCCATCCCTAGTTTTGACCATTGCCTGCATGAGTTAATAAACTGCATTTATACCAAGCCTTTAAATCAAACTTTAAGCTGAATACTAGGATCTTGCATAAAGCTAGTCAAATATTATATACTGTCATCATGACAAAGACAAAATATTTTTTATTAGAAATTATTAAATAACAATATAGACATATATGATTTTGTTTTTTAATGTGCACAGATAGTCTAAAGGTAGAAAATAGTAAAAATGAGCACACAGTTAAATATCAAATATGAACCTCAGTATTATTATTATTTTGAGATGTGTTCTGTTTGAGTCCTAAATGCAAGATTGACTCCAGACGTACATACTAATATTAGGGATATTTCTGGATTTACTGTGTTTGCAATAAAATAAATAGTGTTCAGATTTGAATTGTGACCGTTGTGTTGACCACTCTTGAGTGTTTACTTAAATCGAATGTATTTGTTTTGGTTATAGATGAGAAAGTGTGTGTGGTTTGGGATTCAGTCCAGACTCCCACACACACACACACACATACACACACACACACACACACACACACACATAAACACACACAGTGAGCAGATGGAGTGAAGGAGAGAGAGAGTGACTCAGTGAGATGGTTTTGTGGGATTATTATGTATTTCTGTGTACACCAAAACAAAGAGAGAAAGAATCTTCTGGAGAGCCAAGGTTGATGTTTGTCTTTTGTAGGTCAGTTCGCAGTGTTGTCTCGTACGTGTGTAGCATTAACACAACCCTGGTTTGGCTCCTGTGGGTTTGTTAACTTGAGCAGCACACAGACACACACACACACACACACACACACACACACACACACACACACACACACACACACACACACACTGGTGTTTTTCTCCTGTGACTGAAGTTTGATGGAAGTGTTGCTGAGTCATCAGTGGAGTCGGTGTGTTTGAAGGCCTTTATTGAGCTGCTGCTGCTTGACTGTTTGATTCCTGTAAGAAGTGATTCATTTGCCTGACAATATACCTCATAACAATAACACAACCCACATGGCTGATGCACTGAAGAAGAGCATGTCTGATGAAGATGACATGAGACAAGATGTTTGTGATTGTTGATGTTAAATATTTGGTGTAATTATCCACTTGCTTGTTAACTAAAAAGTTTGCACTTTTAAGTGATGGTAAAAAATGCATTGAGAGTGTCAACTAGCAGCATTAGGAGTAAAAAAAATGCTATCCAAACATTTTTCTGAGTGGGGGAGTTAAAGGGTTAAATAATTGATTTCACTAAATGTTTTTAAAAAGAGTTTAAATGATTTAGGAAATTGAAACACAGTCTTTAGATGTTTTGAATAGTTTGTCAATGTGTGATTCATGTTAACTGTTAATTGTTTTTGTTTGTTTGTTTGTTGTCTGTTAGACCCATGTGACACGTGTACTGCCTATCTTGGCCAGGATGCTCTTGTAAGAGAGATTTTTAATCTCAATGTGTCTTTCCTGATAAAATCAAGGTTTTAATACTACTACTACTACTACTACTACTACTACTACTACTACTACTACTACTAATAATAATAATAATAATAATAATAATAATAATAATTGTAATAATAATAATAATAATAATAATAATAATAATAATAATAATAATATGTATAAAAACAATAAATGAACCATGTTGTATATATAGTTTTTGAACATTTAGTTTAATTTATCACTTTTTGTCTGCTAAAATTACATTAATTTAACATGAACAATTGATTACATTTGATGTTATAATGAAAATATTCACATCATGTAACAATATTTTGTTTTATTTGTTTATACATTTGTTGTTTTTGTATTGGTTTACCTGTTTTATTTTTATATTTTACCTGATATAGATTTTTTTTCTTATCATTTATTTATGTTTGTGAAGCGCTTTGAGTTGCATGTATGTTTGTAATATAATACTTATGTTTTTTAATGTTAAAAATGTTGAATGGTTATTTTTGCTTTTTCAAATAAAATTAATACTGATAACATTGTAGTTTATGCAAATCTCTATTTACTGTAGATATATGAAAACAATGAATGAATTATGTATTTATATAGTTTTTGAACAGTTGGTGTTGCATTAGCACTTTTTGTCTTCTAAAATTAAATGAACATGAACAACTGATTAGATTTGATGTTATAGTGTATAAATTCAGATAATGTATTAAAATTTTGTTTTATTTGTTTATACATTTGGTCTTTTTGTATTGTTTTATTCGTTTTTGTTTAATATTTTTCTGATATTGATGTAATTTCTTAGTATTTGTTTATGTTTGTAAAACATTTTGAGTTGCATGTAGCAAAAGTGCTATACAAATAACATGTATTATTATTATTATTATTATTATTATTATTATTATTATTATTAATATTATAATTTCGGTAACACTTTATAATTTAGCTTTTGCAGCTGCAGTTATAAACTGCTTACTACCGTCTATTAATGAAGAGTTAATGCTTAACAGATAATAAATTCACTATTTGCTCATGTTTAACAGATGACTTACTCCTTTATTCTGTACAGTTTTTTTAAGACTGAAACTCAGTAGTGCTGGAAAAAATGTGGGGAACACGTAGCAAACCATTTTCTCATATTTTAATGTTGTCCAGCCATTTAGTCATACTGGCAGGAATGCAAGTAAAGCAAGTAAAATTGTAATGATGGAATAGGCTTCTCTTTTACAACAATTTACCTGGGAATATTGCAGCCAGCTTCTAGCAACCAGTAAGAAAACTGTATCTCGGAAGGGTCTAAAACTCAAACCCCCTACAAAATCTGAATGGTTGGATATTGTGTTTAATGTTCAAAATATAAACAGGATGACTTTTACTTTAAAACTACAAATAGACAAATACCTGCAATGTTAGGAGAAATGAATTGCACTTATGCCTTTACACAGTAAAAGCTGATCTTTATATGCTATTGTTAATGTGACCTGTAAGGAAATATAGGACCAGTATTGTGGTAAATGTGTTATTGTATTTTTCCTAAGAAGAATAAAGAAAAATAAAGTAGAAGAATAAAGTATATAAGACTGAAACTCAGTAATAATAATGAATATCATGTGAGAAAAATCCCATTAAACATTATAAATAAAGGTCAATAAAATTATATATATACATTAATTTATTTGTTTATTATTCTATTTTTATTGTTAAACTAAAACTACTTGGAGTTTTTGTCGTTCAAATTTAATCATGTAACACTATTAATATTAAATATTTCAAATGCAGAAGACAACAAATATACAGTATATGAAGAGATGAGGAAGTTCTTTGAAGTTTAAAGCAAAGAGACTCCGAGTCTTCGTGTTCTGCCACATTGATGAACACATGTGATGACATAACTTTGAAAATCCCATCAAAGGAGATAGGAGGAGATAGAGAGAGAGGGAGAATTAAAGATAGCGTCCAAGTGAGCAGTGATTTGTTGTGATTGCTGACTATACATTGTGATTGTTTACTTATGTAGGACATTAGAAATCAATGTTTTTATTAATATCAGGGATTTATATATTTTTCATCACTGGATAAAAAAAAAAACAAAGGTCTGATCATATAGATTTTGAGATTGTTTTTGGCCTGTAGATGGACTGCAGCGGGAAGTGGAAATCTGTCAGCCTGGGCTCCCCGTGAGCTCCAGGATTTCCTGGGGCCTAGAAAATTGCTTTTCACTCAAGGGATTGAAGTCATTAAATACATTGTAAACTACAAAGAAGACATATGACCCCGTGGCCTGCCTCTTTTAGTCAGTCACTGCTGGCGATGGAGGACGCCTTTCACATTTCATTGTTGAGCTTGTAAAGACTCAACCCCGAGACGCCGCTTGCTGTGTAATCTGGCGGTACTGGAACAAAATGCAGCCATCCAAAATTCACATTCGCAGATTTGCCTCAAACCATAAACAACTCAAGATGTTTCCACATGATCTTTTGAGATGCTTTGAAAAGCGCGATATTTGACAGATGGACTCTTTTGCATAACGCAGTGCTCCAGCGCACATAGATAGAAGATCAGTTCATTTCTGCTAGATGAGATTAAGTTGTACAGTGAATATTATGCAATCTCACATTATGTCTCATCTAAAGGGATAGAAATATGTTACTCTTATTATTTTTTACATTATTTTCTTAAACTATGTTTTCAGTACATTTATTTCTAATTATTTGTATTATTTAAATGCAAATGCATCTTAATAAAGGCATTTTATTTACATTTAAACCACATTTTATTTGTATTTTTTTATTCTTTATTTTATTTTTCTGCTTTTTATTATTATTTCACTTTATTTTTTTTCTGTATTTTACATTGTTTTATTTAATAAGTCTTTGTAATACCCCTGGTCATAATCTGGTTTTTAATTTTTTTGTATTATTATTTTTTAACTTGATTGTGTTTTAGCTCATTGGTCTTGAGCATCATTTTATATTTTGTATTATTTATGTAAAATTATTTTGTTAACATCAATATTTTTTTATATTTTACATAATTTGATTAATTTAATGCTTAAGTATTATGCAAAAATGTATTGAATATTTTACATTTTATTTTCCTGATAATTTTCTATTTTTCCTTATTATATTTTCAATAGTTTTGTTTTAACTCTGTTCTCCAGTTTACCATTTTGCTTGTATTGTATGTAATGTTTCATAATAGAATGTTTTTTTTTAATTCTTGTTTTCTTATTTTTAAGAAACAATGTTATTTGTATTTTATTTGAATAATTTCACTTAAGTTCACATGTTTATATTTTTCTTAATGCTTCTTAGCGTCATTTCCGTTTACATTTTGTTTATTTTTATTAGAATTTATTGTTATTATTTTTGCTTCACATCTCTTTCACATTGTATTGTTTTAACTTAAAGGGCTCTATTTTAACGATCTAGGCGCAAAGTCTAAAGCACATGGTGCAAAAGCATTAATGATGTGTCCGAATACACTTTTGCTATTTTAGGACGGAAAAATACGCTCTGCGTTGCGGCACATGGTCTAACAAGGTTGAGATTATTCTCTTAATAAGTTCTGGTGTGTTTTGAGCATAAGATGCATTAAACCAATCAAAGTCTCATCATCCCCCATTCCCTTTAAGATTCAGTTGCGCCGTGCCATGGCGCATTAGCTGTTTACACGGTGGACTTTAAGTGGAAAAACTGAACGTTTCACTAGTGAGAAAACAATTAAACAGACCATATGTAACGAGAGGATGAAGAATCAGCCTCCTTCAATCGGCCTTTGCTTATCTCTTACTCATTTTCATGGTTTAGGAAATGGTGTTGTACGCACTCCACTGAAGACATCCATTAGCCTACATAATTAATTATTTTGTTACGAGCAAAGATTTGTTTTAAAACTGTTTCTAAATTAAGTTCTATTTTCCAGCAAATTAATAAATGACCAATAATAACAAAGTGTGGTTAAAAAACGGAGTTATATCCAAACACACATCCTATGCCCGTATGGTCTAAAACCTGACAGGTGGACAGATTATTGTTTTTTAATAAAACAAATTTTAATATGCATATAATAAAAAAATCTTAATAATAATAACATTATACAAAAGCAAGTTGCCATGTATTGCTGTACATCCTGTGTCTATTAAGCAACGTTTAAATGAGGCGCACAACTACCGCGATGTGCGCTGGACTTTAGACCTGCTTTCAGCTGGTCTATTGCACAGTTTGTTTTAGTTCCTTTAAATAACAACGCACCAACAATGCACCTTAACACACCTCCTTTCTAGACCGGAGCATCCATGAGTCCACTGTAACGTTCCCTTGCAGAACGTATTTTGGATAAGTGTGTGCGTTCGTTTGTATGTGGGTGTGTCGTTTCATGCATGTGTTACAGGTACGAACGGCATTGGAGGATCCGCATTTCGTGCTGATGACGTTGGCCGCTGACGCTGGGTTTGCGCCACCAATCGCTGGTTGGCGTAGCGTTTAAAAGCCGAGCCCAAACTGCAATGGCGATCTCTCTCTTTCTCTGTCTCTTTCCTTCTCGCCACTTCTCGCTCTTATTCTTTCTGTGGGTCTCTGTGAGGACAGTCTCTCTTGCGAGGGCTAGTCTGAGAGAATGTGTTTTGCTTGTTTAATGCTCTTGTCTAAAGTTTGCGATTTAACAATGTTTGTGAAATTGTCCAGTTAACTGACATGTTTGAGTGATGCCTCGGAGAGGTGTAGGAGTGAGTAAGTCGCGCGATATACATATACAACACTCAGATTGATATTTTGTATTAGTTCAAATACAAAAGTGGTGCAAATGGATTTGCTGTTGAAACAATGTGGAGCAAAACGAGAAAATTAGGGTTGTGCTGTTCTGAAAATAGCACGTCGTGGCAAACAGGTCTTGCACCTTATTATGCCAGGTGTATGATAGGGCCCTAAATGTCTTCAGTCTCATTTGTTACTGTTTTATATATATAAGGGATTTTGAGCTATATAGAGAATAAAAGGCTGATTTTGAAGTAAAATATAAAAGAATATCATTAAATATCCTGACTTATAAGCATAACATTTTCCTCTGGGAATTCACATATTCATCATAGATGATGTTAGTTTTATTATCATGTCATGTAAACCATACTGATATATATCAGTAGATGTTTTTTACTGGAATTAATTTGTAAAACCCCCAACCTACTGGTCATCACCACACAATTTCCATGCGCCATCATCCATTATGTGATGTGTAGATATCAAACTCTGTCATGCTTTGCCTTCAGGTGCGCAGGTGGATGAGGAATCCCAAGGTGAATGTGGAGAAGGTCCAGGCGAAGGGCTTTCTGTCTCCCTGTCCCAAATGTCAAGAGGGCCAGGACCTGTGGTACACACACTTCCCTGCACCTTACGGCTGCTGCCACTACAGTCCTGGAGGATACTACCTCCCGCACCCGCCCAGCCCACTCTGCCAGCCCTGTGCCCCCTGCACACCCTGCCAGCCGGATAAGAACAAGACATGCAAGGTCAGGCGTTTTATTAACCTATCTAACCATCTGTTAAGTGTTTATTCATCTTACACCAGTGACTCTGAAGATTTTAGGCATCTAAAGTCTTGCTTGTCTGCTTTACATTTTAAAAATAAATAAAAATAGCTATTTTTGTGTTAGTAGAAAATACCAAAGTCCCTTTAAGGAAAGTCATTTCACTTTGTGGCCATCTTTGAAACGCCTCTCGGGTAGTAAGCTCCGGCATTGTGTTTGAATAGAGAAGCATCTAATTCTCCAAACTTGCTTGCCAAGCTTACTATTACGTTACATGTTAGGAATCACTAAATAAACCTAAACAACAACTGTCTCTTTACATTTATTTCTAAACATTCGAATCACACAAAATATGCAGACATTCATGTCTGGTTTGAAGCCTTGCAGGAGAATCCTCAGTCAATAATGATTGTTGATTGGCTCCTTTACTAGAAGGTGGGGCTTCATTCACCATATTGACCATTACACTCTTCCCCATTCAAAACTATATGTGTGACAAGTCTTGTGTATTGTAGTCTTTGATAATACTTATAGTACTTCATTTTTTTTCTTTTTTTTCTGAAACTGATGTGAGGACAGTATGGCTGCTACCTATTCATAAAGTTCACTTGATCACAAGTTCAAATGCAAAAACTATGGTGCTTTGTATATAGTTTTTTGTTTGATTTTTATTTTTAGTGACTGTTTTGCATGTGCAGATTATAGATCTTTTTCATGACAAAACTGCTTTTGACATTAAAGGAAGCACTTTTGTGTTCAGGGAAGTTTTATTCCAAAAAGACTGAAACCATTTTTTCAAATTGTACGTCTGCATTAAAATAGTCCCAATCCATCACAATGTAAAACATCAATAGAGAATGATATAAATATTTGGTCACACTTTATTTTGATGGTCCATTTGTTACATTGCATCTACATGCCATCTAATTCTCGTTAGATTATAAGTAGCCTGTTAAGTTAGGGTTAGGGTTAGTGTAAGTTGACATGTACTTGCAAAGTGTCTTATAGTCAGTTAAATGTCTGTTGAAGGAGCAGTAGCAACAGATATTAAGCAGACAGTCTACTAATACTCAAATGAACCACCAAAATAAAGTGTTATTTCTTAATGTCATTCTGAATGTTCAAAGTTGTAATTTCTAAATGTGTTTACACTTTTAAATGTCTGATAATTTAAGGATGTTCTCCCCGTGTTGGCGTGGGTTTCCTCCGAGTGCTCCGGTTTCCACCACAGGCCAAAGACATGTGTATAGGTGAATTGAATAAGCTAAATTGTCCATAGTGTATGTGTGCGAATGAGAGTGTTAGGGTGTTTCCCAGTGATGGGTTGCAGCTGGAAAGGCATTCACTGCATAAAACAAATGCTGGATAAGTTGTCGGTTCATTCCACTCCAGACTAAGCCGAAAAGAAAATGAATGAAAGAATGAATTTAAGGGGGAGTAGAATATCACCTCATTGTACAGAATATGAATAAATCTTACTCAATTGTTTATAATTTGTTTCCAGAATTTAAATAATAATGTTGTTTTTTTTGTAACTGGCAGAGGTATGGTATTCGGATTGCAGCAGTAAAGCTGTGATCATCAAGTCAAGGTTATTATAATGAGCTAAATCTAAAATATTTGTTTTTAATGTGTATTATATACCTATGGGTGACAGAGTGGTTCAGTGGTTAGCACTGATGGCTAACAGCAAGAAGGTCGTTGGTTCGAGTCCAGGCTGAGTTATTTGGCATTTTTAAATAGAGCTTGCATGTTCTCCCCATGTTCGTGTGGGTGTCTTCAAGGTTCTCCGGTTTCCCCCACAGTCCAAAGACGTGTGCTATAGGTGAATTGAATAAACCAAATTGACTGTAGTGTGTGATTGTATGTGTGTGTGTGTGTGTGTGTGTGTTTGTGTGTGTGTGAATAAGTGTGGATGTTTCACAGTATTAGGTTGCAGTTGGAAGGGCATCAACTGTATGAAACATATACTGGATAAGTTGGCAGTTCATTCCGCTGTGGCGACCATAAATCAATAAAGGGACTAAGTCGAAGGAAAATGAATTAATGAATGAATGAATATTTGAGAGGGGTCTGGATGTAGACCTGGTGCAGTGCAATCTGAGCTGTATCCAATGCTTTGTAATGCGCTCACCTAACCCCACCCCTAACCCTACCCGTCACAGTGATGTCACTCACTATAAGTGACAAAAACACAATTGTTAAAACATTTCTAATTTTAAAAAGAGTATCTGAATGATACTAAATAACACAGAATTGCTGTAACTTTGGATGGCAGACTGCAGTTTACAGCAAACGTGAAATGAATCACAACCATAAAAAAGAGTTTAGCAACGGCTGCAGAATCTATATTTCAGGACCTAGAAAATGCCCTAGACGTAATTTCTCTCCATTTAGTTTGTTTATTTGTATCCCTTGTGGTGCAGGCTTTTAATCTTAGCATGCCGTGGGGATGCATAAGAGGCTATCAGGCTAAGCATGTTGTCTTTCCATTTAGCAATGCTAAACAGCTTCTAAGGGTTGGACTTGGTGAGATGACTAGCGCTTTCTCCTCCAACTGTTTGACTGGCTGTGAGGGACAGTGAGTATTAGAAAGATGACACAGAGCTCAGAGGGAGTCTGGGTTTTTACAGAGATCACACATGACAGGATCTCTGCCCGCTACGCTTTATGTAACAGTCTGAAATGCAGTCCATTGTATGTGTTTCTATTTGAGGAGGGTTTTTTATGTGACAAACTTCAAGACGCACACACAGGTCAGGCTCTGGTTAGTATTAGCATATCATTTGATTATGTCACTGCTTCATGGAAATTAATAGGATGGAAAACTAACAGGATGGAAATGAAGAGCTAAAGTTAGCCTTTGCTCAATGAGGAACTGTTTTTGGCTTGCATGGGGGTGATGACTTGGATTTTGATTCATTTAATACCTGTGGTTTTATCAAGTATAATGGTATGGTTTACATTAACTCAAAGCGGATGGCACAACAAAACATCACAGAATTTCATCAGCTTTGATTTAATCAACTATTATAATCATATTTGGAGAGAAAGAGATGAATCTTTGCTAATTTTTAATGAAGTGACTTCCAGAAACTCACAAAAAGTGGCAGTTGTTTGGACAGTGTAAATGGCTTACATAATGGTCTAAATGGAATTTAGTTGTTATATTGGAATTAAAGGTGTAGTAGGTGATCTGCCAAAATGCTAAACGTTTAGCATTATATCTTTGAAACACAGTCCTTCCCCTGCCAATCAAAGCCACGTCTCCTGAAACACGAACGCGCACACCTTAAAGATGACAGTAGACAACCCACTATGTTAGATCATGTCATTCGCCAGTTAGAAAATTTTACAGTGCTTTATAATACTACAATTCCCAATGAAAAAACTGTATTATATCTAGCATGTTTCAGTTGTGTAGCAAGCAAAACTTGTCATAATGTGCAATATTTCATGCATGCAAGGATCGCTGGTCTTACTCTCTTATGTGCTTGGTCCTAGAGCGACTACTGTATGTTTAGTGGTTGGCTGGCGGGGTGCAGGAATTAGACTTATTACTAAGTCATACTTGGATGCTATTTCAGACCGAATATTCAGAGTGGATGGTAAACAATATAGGGAGCGTGTCACAGGTTGTCACTGTTTAAAAATGAACCAATGTAAATATAATACTAAATCCACCTCAGTAAAGCAGGCTAGGTGGAATAGTGCTATTTTCTGATGTTTTGTTGTTAAACTACATAAAAGTCAACATCATCGATGCTGTAAAAGGTTCCTTTTGAAGCTGAAAATAGTCACATCAATCTTTTGCCAGAAGATTTCAGTGGCTGAACAACACTTCTGTGCATATAAGCCATTCGTAAAGCTAAACTAAATCTACATACGCTTTGGGTGACTAAGGTCGGTTAAATAAACAGGAGCTAGATTATTTAAAGCTTTATATATAAGAAGCAATTTTTTTAATTCAATACGAAACTTAACAGGCAGCCAGTGTAAAGAGGATAAAATTGGGGTGATATGATCATATTTTCTAGACCTGGTAAGAACTCTGGCAGCTGCGTTTTGTGCTAATTGAAGTTTGCTAATAGAAGACAGTGGGCATCCAGCAAACAGTGCATTACAGTAATCCAGCCTAGAAGTCATAAAAGCATGGACTAGCTTTTCTGCATTTGAGATGGATAGCATACTTCGTAATTTAGCGATATTTCTCAGATGAAAGAAGGCAGATTTTGTGACATGGGATATATGATTTTCAAAAGTTAAATTGCTGTCTAATATGACACCCAGATCTTTTATAGTAGAGCTAACACTAACTTTGTATCCCTCTAATCTGTACAGGATTTAGGCCCAATAAGTAATAATTCTGTTCTGTCTCAGTTTAAGAGAAGAAAATTGTTGGTCATTCAGTCTTTAACATCTTTAATACACTCAGTTAGCTTAGACAGTTCAGATATCTTATCAGGTTTAGTTGAAATATATAATTGAGTATCATCTGCATAGCAGTGAAAGCTGATCCCATGTCTTAATAATGTCTCCCAGGCGTAGCAATTAATTAATAAATTAATTAATTGTAAACAGCAAAGGGCCTAAATTTTTGTTGAAAATTTAAACAGCAAAAAATGGTAAAAGTTAAAAGCATGATACTAACCCAGCGGTATTATTCCTTGCATTAGTTCACTAATTATGTCTGCCAGATAATGGAAAAATCTTATATTGCGAAAATGCATTTTTTGTGTGATATTTATTGCGATATTAATACAATTTTACAGCAGATGACTTGAATAGCTAGAATTAAATTGTTAATTAAGATTGACTTGAATCATTATGTGGCTGATTGAACCAAACAAATTGAAAGCATAAATATATAAGACAGAGCAAAGATAAAAGAGAAATAAGAAATGCTTTATGGTTTTCTGTGAAAGTAGTTTAAACAATCAAATTTAAGTACAGTAATTAAATAAGCAAATGTAATGCAAAAA